CGTAAACTCATCAGCAACTCGGTTGAACACAGTGTCGAAATATTTAAACAAATCGACTTACCCGAACAAAATTGATCAGAACTAGAAGTCTTCTTAGGCGCCTCCTGTTTTCAGCATTTCTTCTCCGTTGATTCATCAGACGGAGAAGAATAAACATAGCACACGCCACAACACAAGTGCTGGAGCCGGCATTTTCAAACCAGTATCTTGTGTCGCTACTACGCGTGACGTATGCCTGCACGTTGGTCACGCCGATTTGCATGAAGTGGTGTCTCATTTCTTAGGGAAAGATCTCTACCCTAATATTTCTCACTTCCCTCATCAAGGGTTATCTCGCAAACAAGGGCATGCAATACCAAGTGGAAGATTTAAGGGATAGAAATTAGATTGGGCCTTAGTTCTTGCGGTACAGACTCAAAAAAAAGGGGGGTTCTTAGAAAAAGGTCCCTAGAACTATGGAAAAGTTCCTCCAGTCTAAAAATACCTGATGTCATACCTCAATGGAAATTTTTTATTTGATGCTTTCGGCGATTTCTGTCTGCTGATTTTATCTATAAACAGTTTCTCAATTGATTTTCCTGAACATTCACCAAATCACATCACTGCAATATATAAAAATACACACACCATGATGGTGGACTTTATCAATATCGCCCACTCTGTTGTGGAAGTGAAAACAAAAAGGTGTCAGGATGGGCTACTGGAAACACAGCTCCTTCCAATTTTTATTATAGTTGGTTTAAATAACTACATCAAACTGTTCCGTTACAACCTGTTTGAGCATCTGACAGCTCTTGTTGCTGCCTAACGGGACTCCCTTCTAGTAATATTATTATGTCTAGTGAGTTATCACTGCCTGAATCTTTCTACCCCTGCCTTCTACTCTCATAGCCCACTATGACAGATGCATGAAACAGATGCAAAAGGCTATCAGGGCAGCGAGCGGAAGGGGGTGGAGGGGTCTGACTCTCCCTCTGTGGGTTAATTTGTTTGGAGGCTCTGTGCATGACAAGGCATCAGGAAATAATCATCATCATCGCAACACATGAGCACAGCACGCAAAAGCCCATCGACCAAGGAATACAGTTGAATGTCACCAGAGCCCAGTGACGTCGTCCGCTTCTGTTTCCACTCAAGAGCTTGAAAACTAGTAATTACAGAAAATAGCCTTAAGACAGTATCAATAACAGTGTTTTCTTCTTTTACATCTTCATTCATTTCCCAACACACATTGTGGAGAGGTGTGTGTGAGCAGCTGCGGTTTACAGCTGTTATTTGTTTTGCAGAAACAAAGGCTGTTGTTTTTTCAACATCTGTGAATGGCCGTATATAGCTCTGTCACAAGACCTACCATGCACACACACACACACACACACACACGAGTGGATACAGACACACATACACACTCAGGCTTACATGTGTCAGTAGCCCAGCAACAAACCCTAATAACCCTTTGCAATCGAATAGTGATCAGCAAACAATTCTCAGGGGACCTACTGGATGAAAACATGCACACAAAACACACATAACTACACACACACACACACACACACACACACAGTATCAAGCAGCGTTTCTAGCATCTCAAGGTCTACAAGAAGCAGCATACGTGATAGTCTGTTAAAAGAGAAATGTTAATGTGTGCTGACTGTATTTCCATGTAATTACTGTGTAGTGTAATCTATACTGTCAGTCAATGCTGCTTTATTTGTCTTTGTCTTCAACCTATTTGTTATGTCAACAGTGCTGATGACTGGTATGCAGCTAGAAAAACAAAGCCAAGAAGATCTGTAGTTGAATACCGAGAAATCACTGCATCCCCTGGGAAAGCACGCAGACCAGTGTGTGGGGGGGAAATGGTCAAACACCGAGCCGCTGCTCTGAATGCGATCTGTAGACAAAAGGCCTTGCACTGATATAAAACATACTGACAGTAATTTACTGCAAGGAGCCCTAGAGACGGAGGGCGAGGGAACAGAAAGACAGAGAGACAGTGTGTGTGTGTGTGTGTGTGTGTGTGTGTGTGAGAGAGATAGAGAGGATGGTGGCAAAAATGAAACTTCCATTTAGTTAAAACAAAATTGTTGAATCCCCACAAGTAATTAAATTCAATGTCCATTTTTACAAGATGCAGATCAATAAGCTAATTACGAAACACAAAAGCCACTGAAGGTGATCGACTCGTTGCTGAAACGTGGCTGCTGCTGCTGCTGCTGCTGCTGCTGCTGCAGACAACCAAAGAAGCCTGGATTCGTGAGATAACACACACAATGCGACATCTGTCAGATGTCAAATACTACCACTGATAAAACTTTCAATCAGCAGTACCATTACAGGCAGGGCCAGCTACACAAACAGTTAAATGTAATGTTTATTCAGTCATTTAACCCTCATTCTCTGAGTGCACTGACCTGACCCTGTAAGTTGAGGTGAGACCGCTGCCTTTTCTTTTCTCTTTTATCAGCTCCTCTACAAAGAAGCGCAGCACACTTGGTCCTCAAGGCAACAGTCTTGGCTGATTACAAATCAACCCTGTCTGATATGTCAAACGCCCTCAGGCTACAGGCGGCTGCCAAAATTAACCGACTACAACGGTGAACACAGTCTTAAAGAAACACTTCACCCCACAATCAAAAATACAAACTTTGCTCTAACCTGTAGTGCTTTTAATCAGTCTAGATTGTTTTGGTGTGGGTTGCAGAGTGTTGGAGATGTCTGCCCTCTCTCCAATATAATAGAATTCAAAACGCAGCCCCCCAAAAACCTTTGAAAAACAGCAATGTCTCCTCAGATTCGGAAATCAACACCCAGTTACTCAAATGAATCTACAGACCTTGTTGTTAGCAGTTTCATGTCGCACTGTCCTCCTATCAAACTACACCCTCCACTTGTATAACCACACAGATGTAATCATGCATCTACTTGTGGATGAGAGGCTCGTGCTTGTGATGGCACAAAATGCGAACATCAATTGCGTCCTTTTCAGCTGAGCTGCAAAGCTGTAAAGTTAGCTAGCTTAGTGTTGCTAAGTGAGCTAGCAGTAGATGCATGCTTCCTTCTGCACAGTGAGACCCTGATCACACAGGAAGCGTTTTAGCAGCTGGGGTGGCTTTTTGTAAATTGTTTTTAATGAGATTGAAGCTTTTTGTTTGCGGTTTTTGCGTTGCGTCATGCCTAACGTTTCTGTGCTTTACGCGCCTGTCGTTTTTGTCGAAGTGAATTCTGAACTCCTCGAGTCGAAAACACTTCAACTCAAAGCGGAAAAACACCCCACATCATCCTTTTCTTCGTCATCTTCTTTCCCACTGTCCAATCAGATGACTTGAGAGGTTGGCCATCTGTGGTGGTCACTACAACACGTTTACAGATGGTAAACAACGGAGGAGAAACTGGTGATAGCGGTTGCTGGATACCCAGAGCTCTACTGCCTGATGATATACAGCAGATTTTCAAACTGCCCCGAGTCATCCTAAAATATGACTGGAAATGGCCATCGTGGAGGCTAAGCTCCTGGACCAACTGGTGGTACTCCCCATGACCCACTCTCTTTTTTATGGTCTCAATGTTTCCCTGTGCCCGAATGCCGCAATGTCTCTTTTCTAAATTCAGGACCAGAGGTAGAGCAAGTACCCTCAGCCTTAACATTTTAGTAACTAGATACTAATGACTGTCAAATAGCTAAAATAAATAAAACTATAAATTTATTACATGGGAAGGTTAGAATAAGGAGGTGAGTCCATGGTTGCCTGGAGATAATAAAAGGGTGCAGCAAGCAATTTCTTTCCACTAGTGGCATTCAATTTTAAAAAAAGTGTGATTGGCCCCAGGGCCTGATACAGTTGAAGGGTGTAGTATTGTATTTTATTGTATAGTATGTATTTTTGGCTTTAAGCACCACAATCTGAGTGCAATATAGTTCCATTACATTCAAGAGAAGGCAGACATGATATATTCAACACTAGGTAACTAACATCAAAACTATCTAGACTAATAAGCAGCCCTACAGGAAAAATATGAACGCTCTCTTTAATAAGACCACAGTGGAATTAACAAGCTTATAAAGTTCAAGTAAGAATCTCATGTAAGCATTAGATTTAAAGTTAGTGACAAAGCAACAGGAAAACTATCAAGCAGCGCTATCCTGCTCTGTGCAAGTCATTACCGAGGTGACTGCTGATCCTTCAGTGAGATGGCTCATTTCAGCACCATGGAGAGCTCTGCAGTCCTCAGCCAGGGCTGATGCTCGGCTAATTCTCCCCCTCTTGGGCAGCAAACAGCATCTGTTGGTGTGTCTGTTCAACCGCAGCAATAATTTAACTCTTAGGAGACTCCAAAGCACTCCAGCGCTCTAGTGACTGTAGCACCAGTCAAGGGCCAAGAGACGGGCTCTTTCATGATCAGTTCAGAGCGAGAGGAAAATGCAGTCTAAAAACGACTACACTCAGAACTAATGAGAAATCAACTTAACACATTTCCTCCAAACTGTGCCAATGTGACAATTTAACAAGGTCAAAATCACAAAGAGAGAAAGATATATTTCTTTGTAACAGTGCTCCAAATATTCCACAGCCACAGGATCTGTGCACATTGCAAGACTCTAACTTTTATCACTACAAAAAAAAACCTCACTCTGTTTCTATTTCCACTGCTCTACCCACCTACACAAAAAACCAACAGCTGAATGCGAGTCACGCCACGTCTCCAGGGGGCTGTCATGAGAAGTCATTCTGGGAAATGTAGGAAAACAGTAAATGAAGTAGATGAAGCAGCTCGGGGGAATGTGAACACAACAATATAAACTGCAACACTCAGCAAAAAGTCTCTCCTGGAACGTGTGGAATAAAATAAACAGTTGAAAACAGTGTTTGAAGTATCCCGCTAGATTTGAACATAAATTAGGTGTCTGTACGCACACACAAACACAAAGTCCCCGCCAGGAATATCCCTGAGCAGACTTTCATATACAGTAGCACGTAAACTAACAGTGCTTTTCATGCTACCTGTCATCATTCTGAAATGTCTGGTCCCCCAGCAGCAAGTCCCTGAAGCGATAGCGAGGTGGAAGAGGAGGCACCTCAGTGTCCACTTCTGCCATCTTGAGGGCCGAGATGTCCAGAATAACACCAGAGTTGCTGCTGTTGTTCCTCTGCAGGGTCTCAGTGGGGGGCCTGCATGATGAGGAGGACGGCAAAATCTGCTCATCAACATGCCAGCTTGAGATTCTGTTACATTATAATGATATTTTATTATAATCTTCTGTGTTAACATGCAACAATACGGCACCTGAGATCATTTGTACACATAAATCATTGTAAAGCCCATTACTGGGGAGAGAATTGAGTGTTCTTGGAAGTCTATATGTAATAAAGGGTTGTATAATGAGTAGGAACAGCGTTTGAAATCAAATCAATCAATGTTCAGGAGGACTTTTTGTTCTACTGAAATTCCCAGATGCCAATTTTTTCATCTAGGAACATAAACTGTGCGAAGAGGAAAACACAGCAAGGACAAAGATGAAGAGGAGGCCCATCGATCTGTTCCATGAATACTGATTCCAAGTCAACATGGATTTATTGAGGATGATGAAATGGGTCTTCTGAGTACTATAAAAACTTGAACGAACATTCTGCAGTAGCTGAACTCCTGCATTACTCTGTCTACAGTGTCAAACACAGCTGAGGAAACAGCTAACGCACATGATCTATTTTGTGAAAGAAACACTAAACGTGGACCTGATACGCTGAATCAAAGCAATTCATGCATGAAAGTCTGAACCAGATGATTTGATGTAACTGTCGTGTGTCATGTATTATTAAACAAAATAAAATGAACTTATACAATTGCATGCATTATTCAATGAGAAAAAAGAGTTTCCCACCATCAAATGGGAAACTTAAAGGGGCAGTTCATCCTAAAATTAAAACTACATATTTTCCACTTACCTGCTTTTTATTAATCTACATGGTCATAGTGTGTGTTGAGTGTTGGAGCTTTCGGCCGTAGAGATGTCTGCCATCTCTACTATATAATAGAACTAGACGGCACTCGGCTTGTGGTGCTCAAAGCACCAAAACAATACATTTGAAAAACTCATTAATGTCTCTTTCCAGAAATAATAAACCAGTAACTCAAGATAATCCACAGACCTTGTTGTGAGCAGTTTTATGTAGGAACTATTTTCTTTTTACCGATCTTCACCTGCCAACTGAATCAATGCACCAAAGAAAGTGTGCATTGACTGCTAGCTCACCTAGCATCCCTGAGCTAGCTAACGTTACAGCTCGGCCGAGGATGACGCCATTAACAAGTACTTCTCACGCTGTCACAAGCACTCTTGACCATAAGTAAGTGTGTATCCTTCTGCATGGAGATACGGTTGGTGGGTTGGTAGAAAGAAAATAGTTCCTACACAAAACTGCTCACAACAAGGTCTGTGAATCATCTTGAGTACCTGGGTACTGATTTCTGGGAAAAGGCATTGCGAGGTGTACACGTTAATGGCGCCGTCTTCAGCCAAGCTCAGTAGTGCAAGGTGACCTAGCAGTTGATGCACACTTCCTTCCGTGCATTGACATAGTTGGCTGGTATAGTTCAGTACAAAGAAAATAGTTCCTACATTAAACTGCTCACAACAAGGTCTGTGGATTAACTTGAGTTTATCATATATATTTTTTGGGTGCTCTGAGCACCACAAGCCGAGTGCCATCTAGTTCCATTATATTCAAGAGAAGGCAGACATCTCTACGGCCAATATCTCCAACACTCGACAACTCACACTAAAACAATCCAGACAGATGATCAGCACTACAGGTGAGAGCAAAAATATGTATTTTGGATTTAGGTGTGAACTGTTCCTTTAAAAACTGCCTCACTGCAAAGACGATTATGAAAAAACAACCCACCTACTTGTACATAACAGTAAGTGCATGTGTTTGTGTGTCTAGTGCATCCAGGACAGGCTACATAATGGCATGTATATACTGTGTGCATATATGCTCGCATCATGTCACTCTGTGTCATAAGCAGGGGAGTGAAGTGCTTTGGGAAATTACCTGTCACCATGGGAACTTGAGGATCGGCGTGGAGGGCTCGATGATCGGCGTGGAGGGCTCGATGATCGGCGTGGAGGGCTCATGGCTGCCTCTTGTGGGGGGGGGCAAGAGGGAGCGAGAGAAAGAAAAGACGGACAGGACAGAGAGATGGAGGAGAAAGGAAGGGAGAGAGTTTAAACACACTTATTAAAAATCCACCTCTCTAAGACTTAGCAAGGATGTTAATATGATTACATTAACTGCCTGTGTCGCAGCTTAACTCTCCTCGGAGTTCAGCAAGACCTCTGCAATGGGCTGCATTTTAACTAAAGTGGGATTACACTGACACACTTTAACTGTACAGTTTAATATTAATGCATTCACTGTCTCACACATGCCCAATTGATGGTGTTTTATTATTTATACTATATATTCTGATAAAGTGGAAAGTAGCATTTCAAGTGGGTTAAGCAGCTATTATGTACCTTTGTGTTTATTGAAGGCACTTTAGTGTATAGGACTTATGCGGGGGGAGAAAAGATCCCCTTATCAAGGCGGTGTTAAACCTATTTTACAGGGAGAAGAAAATTACTTCAGAAATAGGGCACTGACATTTCCACCACACCTGTGATGTATGTACAAGAATGCATGTTCTCTCTGGCTAAACACGATGGGCTTCATTCATGTGTGCGTGTCTCTGCTTGAGCAAATCAATGTTCAGCTTATTTCACAGCTGGCTTTACATGTCCAATCACATGATTTATTGGTGTTTCCTGTTGAGATTGCTTTGATCCCCCCCCCCCAATGTCTGTTCAAAGGGGAATAATCAGCGGGTAATACAGAGCTGTGTATTTGAGTGTGTGGCCATCATAGTAGAGTGTGGGCAGCCTTGAGTGGACTAATAGCACCCAGAGACATGCTCTCCCTGATTAACAGTGAAAGCACGGACCCTCAGAAGATAGTGGAAATAGAGTGGAGATATGATGAATTAGTGTGCTGGTGAGGAGAGGAAAAACAGGAAATAAATGAGGTCGTTGCAGGAGTGTAAAGAACACATTGTCCTCAATGCCTCCTTTACTTTAGGGGGAAAGGAGAGGTTGAGGAGAAGTAGATGACAAGATCAAATAAGAGAAAGAGCTGATGAGTGCAAGTCTAGCATGAGATTAAAATGAGGCTTGTAAAAAATACAGAGTGTGCAATCTCTGAGGGATGGCTTAATGGATGAGGCGAAGTGACCACAATAATAGAATCGCTCCCGGTATGAGACTGTCTCCACTTAATGGAGAGAATACAGTGGATTCAGACCAAAGAAAGCAGATGGATTTAGAAAAAAAAGGTGCATGCAGGGCAGAGGCAAAATTGGTCTTTAAATAAATAACAAGATGCAGAGTGAGAATCACAGAAACATGATGAAAACTGACTGTAAAAATATGCAGTCTTCATTTAAAGTATGTATTACGGTAGACCCAAGATGGATGTCACACTTACTGTACATGAGATTACAATGCATAGATAATCAGCAATAGCTAAATGCTATGTTCTGTAATTAAACTTTCCATCTGAACACTGAGTCATGTAAGTTTTCCTTATGGTTATACAAGAAAATGTGATATTTAGACACTGGGTAATCTTTGAAACACACTCATCATATTCAAAGAAAGTTTGCTAGTGACACACAAAGCCAATAAATCTACTTCTATGCATGACAGATATATTACAGAGCAATATACTTAGGTATATAAGAAAATGGCCAAGATAGATTCATATAGGCTACTGCAGATCAAGTTCAGCATTAATATTAGGGTTATACTACACTATACTTTATAGAAACATCATTTAAGATACAACAAATTAACTTCCACAGTATTAGGTCATGAAGAGTACCCAGAAAAGTAACACACAAATATAAATTCCTTTGAGACAAGCTTAAATAGCAATAGACAGTAAAGACACAATAACAGACACAAACACAAGGTAAATAAACTTACAAATAAGCACCAGTCACTGTGAGTGAAGTCAGGCTCCCCAGAGGAACATACAGCCTGAGTCACATGGGCTGACTTCTGCCTAACTTCGTTCACCTGGCTGTGTCTGACCGAGGTCCCATCATCGTGAACACACGTTTGGTTTTGATAACCTCCATACACTGCCTGTACAGTGCTGCCTGTGTGAAAGAGGATGTTTCCCATCAACGCGCCGCTGCGTAAGCTCTGTCATGCTTGGAAAATGGTAATTAAAAAGGGGAGGGAAGTCGAGTCCGGTGTGACAAGAGTCCAGCGGAGTTAGCTTGAACGTCCAGTTGAATCAATATAGATCGTCATGGCGATAAACACCGGTGTTTGACAAGCTAGCTGCCTGACAGTACTTAGCTAACTTTCTCTTCGCTCGCATGCTGTGTTATTTAGGTTTATGAGGAAAAACTAGTCCCGGTCTGCGCTGCTGATTGGCTGACACGCCTTCGAAGCCGTTCTAATTTATCGTACACCTGACAGTTAATTTAAATATCAATGCGCGAGCCCCAAACCGCCACCAATACCGTGCGACTTCATTGTCGCTTAGCAACAACTTTAGTCGCGTGTTGACGAACTACATCGCAGCGCGGAAGGAGGATGAACTGTTATATATGTCATATATGGATTGTAAAGCAGATTTTTTTTAATTAGCGCGCGTTAACCGTTTTTCAGCTGCTGTCACTGTACGTCAAATCAAAGTAAGTACGGCTTCGTATGGTTATTTCCGTTGCTGTCTTCTGTCATGTAACATTGATAAGGACATCATGTAAACGCGCTGTGGTCCCTTGCTGGTTCCTGTCAGCATCATCTCCTCCCCAGGAAAGAGCAGCAGCAGCAGCAGCAGCAGCAGCAGGGCGCTCAAGTCACCCATGGGTGCCTCGCCATCTACCGGAGAAGTTTGCACTGATTTGGAGGCTATTGAGGATGCGTTTGATGCTGACAGGAAACTAATCAAAAGGCTTTTAGTGAAATGACTAAACCTAACAATAGCAACTGTAATTCTGCACCGTCATGATTTTGCTCACCCCTCATGTCACCTTGTCTGTGTTTTAAAGATGCAAGACTGAAGCTTTTGAGTCTAGACAAATAAGACTGCTGCTTCTTGTTTTATAAGCAATGGTGTGCTCCATGTACACTGTGTCTTCCTCAGCCAGAGTCATCTGGTGGTAAGAGGTGGAAAGTGCAACTTTGCTGTGCTTGTGAATGCCATAACAATTACATAGCACTCAGCAAAAAAAACAAGCAAATCTGTCTTACCAGGGCTTTAAATGGCTGGTACAGACATCTGCCAAAAATATTGCATTGGAATTAGACCACAACAGTTCCCTAATGATAAGATATTTATTCATTTTTCTTATAACTGTCCAAAATCAAACATCAGTGATGGAGTATATACAGTGCATGCAAAGTCTTGGCAACTTCTAGATATCCACGATCTCCTACTAGGCTACATCTGTGAAAACATACCTGCAACAGCTCTGTCCTCTGCTATTTGCCTCACAATCGTCCCCCTCAAATTGAAAAAAATATTCATTCTGTGTGCGCTCAGGGACTGATGGGAGACACCGCTGGCTTGTGTGTGTCTCCGGAAAAGCCGTGTGTCGCTCTGTGCGCGCTTCCTTGTGCTCAGCCTCTCCACATTTCAGCTCATTATTCTCCAGGGGAAAGAGCTCTGAGCGTCATCATTTCAAAGCCCACACAGCCACTTATGCTTTCCCATGCCAGCAGTCAGATCTCACTCACTCGTTTATCTCACTCAGGATCTTGATTCCCACAGATTTTCTTTTCCACAACTTGCTCCAGCTGATTTTGTTATTGCAGACAGCTGCAGTCTGTGGTTGCCGTGCCTCTTGGGCTAAATGATGAAACACGATGGAGTAATTTGTTTACAGTCAGTGCTAAAGGGGTGATTGAAATATGATGGCATTACAGATATTTACAGATGCTGATACAAAATGTAGTGATATGATGATGAACAACAGCAATTCAGATACACTTTTAACATGTAAAACACATCATTACACCATGATCATGCCTTGTTACCAGGACATATTACCAATTAGGGATGTTCCAATACCATTTTTTCCATACCTGAACATGTCCATTGCCTGACACCAATCCAATACGATGACATTAAAATAAATAAATAAAAGCTGTATACTAGTAACCCTGGATGGAAATTAAATGATTGCAACCATTGTTGTCAGGCATGACTGAAGTTAACCTATTTTGCAAACCATGGAAAAACGTGGATAATGAATGTTATAGAACGTATTTAACTGGACATTTGGCTAACGCCTAAGGTTACACTATTTACTGGAAATCAATTATTCTTGGCTGCTCTAAAACAGTGGCTGCACAATACAACTTGCTGTGAGGGCTACTGCTTCAGAGCAGCGAAGAGGAATAGATTTATGGGTAAATTACCGCTTCACCCGGGTGTGAAACTAATTTAAAATGTGTTAATAAACTATGTGTTATTGGATCAGTGCATAGACTCACACAGGGGCCAATGATCCATCATGTTAGGCAGTATCAGAGGCATTTTCCAATACTGGTATTGGTATTGGTATTGGAACAACTCTAAAAACATTCAGTACAATTTCTTCACTTCCAGCAGCCACCTGAGTTTCTCATTCTCAAAACCTTGTATATCCTTGTAAATCCTTGTATAATACATCAAGGTTAAAATTACTATTTTCAGCATAAGGTAGTACACAAAGATTATTTTGCCACTTACAAATCCTGCACATTCGAACACCTGCATTATTTCCATGTTTACCTCCAGCTCTTTGGCTCATTTTCATTACTCTGTCATAAATAATTAAACAGCACACAAATCACAATATTTACAAGTGATACTTGTTAGGCTTGGGCTGCATCAACGTATTACAGTGTACCAGGATATTTAGAAGTCCTGAAAATATGATTTTCAATACCATCAAAAATACAGATGTTCCTCTTTCTATTAAACTGATACAGAGATGCTGTATTGAAGCGATGTAGTGCACAGCACGCACCACCAGAGGTCAGTCTCTACTGGTGGAATAAGCAGACTGGATACTGCGAGCAGTGGGGATAACATTACAGGACCAGTAAAAAAAATGGCCCCTGCCCCTGTTTGGGAGCATTACTACAATTAGCCACATGATTTGATTCAATACACCATCTCTGTTCAGTATCTGCCGCAGTGACAAATGTCATTGGATACTCCAGCGAGAAGGGCACCTATTTCCTTTTTTTACTTCCTTCCATTTATTCAATATATTTTATGGGTCATACTGTAAATATTTAAACCCAGCGAGATTTGTCTAATCTAAGTAAGCTAATTACGTATTAGAAACACAGCATTGTAGGCTACACAATAACATACATGCTACAGTGACTTTTATCCCCAGTAGCTCAACCTTTACTTTTTTTTTCAGAGAGAATCAAACAGAGGGGGCTACAGTCTGTGTTTGAGGGATATATTCAGCATGTCCGACTCACTCAGGTTAAAAAGATAAAGATAGTTAGAAGCTAAAGCTGAACATACAGATGACAGTGTAAAAGTGAACCACCACATCTCCTGACGATCGAGACAGAAGTTGATGGAATTAAAGGGAAACATTGCTGATATTCAACCAGGTGTGTGACATCACAGTGTTCACATGAACAATGTTTGCCTTCCCCCTGTGCTGCTGCCAGCACTCGGACCTCGGCTGCTAGACCTATGTCACTGAACAGGCAGGGAGCTTCAGGGGTAGCTAAGCGGCATTCATCTGCACACACTACGATGACACACAGCTGGTTGAATATCAGCAACGTTTCTCAAGGTCGGTCTTTTTTCAGTGTTATTATCATTTAAAAGCAAAAGCAGCACGTGTATACATTCATTAGGCTATATCTTCAGTAGCTAGCTAGTTAGCCCTATATTTTTCAGGCTTTGATATTGGGGAAAAAACATGTAATCCTCCGGATAACAAGTGTCATTATTACTTGTGACCCAGGCACAAAATTTAGCTGGAAATCCACAAAACCAGCCTGAAAATTAAGGAAATCTGAAACAACTGCATTAGAGTCAATGGAACACAGCTGTGTTGTTGTCGGACCCGCGTTGGAGTGTGCTGATGCTATGCTACGATTGGCCAGTCTGCGTTTGAGGGGCGGGACTTAGCACATGGTCAATTACCGTCATATACCATATACCCAGGTGACATGTCAGGAAGGTATGAGGCTATGAAAAATGAGATACTACCCAAGCCTACTACTTTGTCTGCTAGAGTATCATGATTAAGATCTAGACGGATATGTGAGGCCAGTGTATAAAACATCCAGTACTGGCTGGGCCATTTTTATGATAGTACCAAATCCAGTTGTTAAATCTAAATTCAAATATTTTACTTATCTGTTTTTTGTGGGGGAAAAAAATCCAACCTGAAATTTATTTGCCGCTGATTCATCTCTATGAAAGAGCTGTGTTTTGTAATCTAGAGACATAAAAAGACCCATAACTTTAATGGTAACCTGGTAGCCTATAATGTGCTTTAATTTAATGCTCGTAGTCATTTTGTATAACAGCCCCTGCCAGCTTTGACTAATGCAGCGATGTCTCATTTTGGAGTGAACTCTTCAATTATTCAGTCATTATGCTGCCTTACTTGAAGCCTATCACAATGTGTCCCAGAGCCTGGCTTACATCCATTAGGCTATTTCTCTCTAACACCTCTGTCCTGTTCATATAATACAAGCATTGTCGAGGCTCAGCACAGCACAGCCACTCTGCCTCCTGGATGCTTGCTCTTCATGCTTCCAAAGTGTCTAAAAACAGATGGAGAGGGAAACAGTCAGACTCAGACATTGAAGCACTCAGATTCTGTAAGCAGCCTGGAGGCATATATAAGATATAGGAGCCTTACATGAGCCTGGTGCATGAATCACAAAGTGACTGTGAGTATTTGTCTGGCTGTAAGCAGCAGACTTTCTTGATGTAAAGTATTTTTGTCCTTAGCTTGAAATTCATTTGACAACTGTACCCAAATGGCAAGATTATCTGTAACATTAATTAACATAATGTTACATAGAAATGTTAATGAATAGAAGTAATTACTTTGGATGATAAGGTTTTTCTCTTTTTCCTTATTCATCGTCACTTTTTAGTAAATGTCTCACCTGACTTTGAACAGTTGGAGTCAATATTTGCTCTCCTTTTATAGTCTGCACCACACTATGCCTGTGTGATTTCACACTGAGTGCAAATGTAAATAATTTTATTCCTCACAAATGTGGGATCAGATGATACATACATTACTTTAAGTTATCCAGCTCACTCCTTCTTAGTTAACTCCTAAAAACAAAGTAGATCCTATTGCTAAAATATTGACTTTAAATTCAGATAAACACAAAATATTCTATGTTTTCTGCTACTGTATTAAGTCTTGGTTATCCCTGCATCCTTAGTGTGTTGCGTGGCTTTTATGCATCTTGCATTAACAAACAAAAAAAAAATATTTTAGAGCTCAGGGCATTCTTTGAAAGATGAGTAATCTCATGGCAGCCAAGTTTAAAAACGCCACAGCACTGAGAACAAAGATGTCACGGCGTTGTTTTTCCTCTTACCTCCATGTGTTAGTTTCATGACAGTAAGCCTCTATTGTTTTCAGATTGGTGACACCGTCAGAGCCTCCCACAGCCAGCAAGGCACCGTTGAAGACTACAAGGGACATCTGAGGCACAATACACAAGAGTGAATATGAAACTGTTATATGCCATTACACTCACAAATGAGATGAATGAAATATGAAATAAACTGAACTTGTTATTTTGACCTTTTCTTTTCAATATATCAAACCAGCCATTCACAGCATGCATATAATAGTTTAGTAGACATCTATTAGACTTGATAGCGGCATGGTTTTATAGATAGTATTGTTGGTCGGTCAGTCCACCATTTTGGTTCAGACTGAAAGATCTAAACAACTATTGGATTGACTGCCATGAAATTTTGGTGATCCCTTGACTTTACATCTGGTGCCACTAGCAAGTCAGTGTTGAGTAAAATGTCTTGACAACAACTGTATGGATTGCAATGAAATTTGTTACCGACATTTAGGTCCGCCTTAGGATGAATTGTAATAATTTGGCAATTCCTTGAGGGGTAATGTTGGTATTTTTCAACCTGAATCCTACTTTCCTATGTTTTTTGTATCAAGGAAACTGATGGGAACAACAATTTTTTAAATTGTCCCAGTATCAAGTGAGCTAGCAGCGGCGAAACAGGCTGCAATATCCTCCCCAGACCCTGTGTCCTCATATGAGGGCAACACATTTTGGACTTACTTGACCTTATACTTCATTCTTCTTAACTCAGACCTGTTGTCCTTATTCGTGGACACTTTTTGTGCCATCTAGTGTTAGTAAGAGCACAATACAGTAATCCATGTAAAAATGTATGGTTAATAATGTTTGTAGTTTGATATGGCAAAAAATTTGACCAATTCTAGCAACAGTAACAAGCTAAGACACTGTTATTAGGAAGCACTCGAAGACAATGGCACTTTATTATCATCTCGTGAGGACATTGGGACTTATTTATCATTGAATGTTTAGTTATTTTATACTTATTGGGTCCTACTAATCCCAAATAGCTAAGAGAAATAAAAAATACATACCAAATAAAAGTTTGGGTCTCAGGAGGGTATACCAACTTATGGACATTTGGCACCGTCAATTTACATCCACTAAAAGTGCTTGTTTTTGCTACTAACAGGCTCATATTGTTATTATGGATGTCTGACAGTATTATGGAAAGCCTCCCTACAGAGACAGACCTTTTTGTTAAAGAGCAGGTGCTTTTTGTTTAACCAGAAACAGCCCAATAAATATTATTGCCAAACCCACCAGACTCCCTTTAAATAAACAGTTATTTTAGCACATGTAGAGGCAGTGTATTTTCACACCTTACTGCATGAATTAAGGATTTGTTTAACCAAACCAGAGTTGGTGATTGTTCAAACAGTGAAAAGACAAAGCAAAATGGCTTTTGTGAGTTTTATTTTGTTTCTGTTGACTTTGAATGAAGTGTGTTTTGTGATGTTGAAACTGTGTGTAGTGTGTGTGTGTGTGTGTGTGTGTGTGTGTGTGTGTGTGTAGAGGAGTCTTTTTAAAAACAAAACAAAAACTGACTGTAGGATCCAAAAATAGTAGTGAGACCTTAAACCTCTGCTGAAATATTTTGGGTAATCTGTGAAAGAAAACCGTGTTCCTCCCTCTGTCATGTAAGTCGTTTTACTTCTCTCCATCCTCTCTTTGCTTATCATTTGAATGTAAAAATAAACCAGACTTTGAATCAGGAGGGAGGCCTGATATCTGATGTGCCTGAGTGATCCATTACTCACATCATCCCTCTTGCTCCTCATACGTTTGACAGGAGTCCACCTCATAGTGTCCGGGTCAAACCTCTCAGCACTGCAGAGCTTCAAGTTGAGCTCGTCTTTGCCCCCGGCCACATAGATGTGTCCCAGGTAAACGGTGCAGCCGGCGTTCTCCCTGGGACTCAGCATGTGGGCGCATATCGACCAGGTACCGTCTACAGGGTTGTATCGCTCCACTGGGGGACATTTAGAGGATAGCAGGAGTCAAACAAGGCCAAATGTACCATAAAATAAACAACTGCATGAGTAACACTACTTTACAGACAGGTAGTGTTTATATTTATATATAAAAGTGTCTAAGGCCACATTGAACTGCTGCAATTCTAGATGCACATAAAAAGCCTAAAATGTCTCCCAGAAAGCAAGATACCAATTATGTGAATATATTTTCGATTTATTTTCCAACTAAAGCCTATTTAAAACAAAATAATAATGTAATTTTCAAACATTTACCATGACCGTAAACTTGATGAGAACCACATAAAGGTTGTGGGAATTTCACTGACGTACATTTCTCACAGACTGAAATAGTCGGTAGCAAGTGGCAGCACAACATAACCCTTGTTTATCTTTAGCAAGGTCAGGGGGCTAAAGAATGTGTGTGTGTGTGTGTGTGTGTGTGTGTGTGTGTGTGTGTGAATGCAAATTAGGTGACTCGCCGAAAAATAAAGGTCAGGCCAGTCATCATGTGTGACCTAAGTCCTGCCACACATCAAAAAGCTGTCAAAGAAAGCTGAGATTTATATCAAATAGCATTGGGAAAGAGTCAATTTACAGAAATGCCTTAAAGCAACTATTCTAGTTGAATATTTGCACAGTAACATTCCCACATAAATAAATGATCAGTACCATGTCTTTCGGGTTGTTTTGAAAGTTGTGCTACTTTGTATGATTTGTGCCGGCGGTAACAAGTCACATTATGACATGAAAACTGGCAGATAATTTAAAAAGAGGTGGTTTAATTACATTTTTAATAGAGTTTTTCACTGGGAATTTAAAGAAGTGCTTAAACTATTAATCAGTTAATCAATTAGTAAACAGGAGAAAAATTAATCACTTTTATTTCAGAGAATTAATTAATCCTTTAAAGCTACAGTAGGTAACTTTTTTAGCCAACATGACAAAAGGTTATTTTTTATGTTACTGTCACTATCCTGACAATAGTACATGAGGCAGATAATCTGTGATAAAGATAATTCTCCTCTACCTCTTCATAGAGCTCCTAATGGCATTTGCAAAGACAACCAATCAAAGCAGAGGAGTCAGAGCTGTCAGTCATGTCAGTCACTGCTCGTGAACTTTGATCAAATATAAATAACGATTCTGTCACCCCATTGGCTCTTTTTTACCTCATATGTTTTCAGAAACATTTTAGTGCACTGTTTAGCTTTAAAATGAGAATATTTGCTTTGGTTGGTGGGCTTTGTTTGGGCTTGACTGTGTCCATCATGGCGACTGGGTCACAAACTTCCACATTGTACAGCTAAACAATACACTAAAATATCCATCCGTCCTTTTTCAACCACTTATCCGAAGTCGGATCGTGGGGGCAGCAGGAGGCTGATGAGATATGTAATCCCTCCAGCGTGTTCTGGGTCTACCCTGGAGCCTCCTACCAGTGGGATGTGCCTGTAACACCTCCAACGGGAGGTGCCCAGGAGGATCCTGATCAGATGCCCGAACTACCTCAACTGACTCTTTCGATGCAAAGAAGCATCTGATCTACTCCCAACTCCCTCTGGATGTTCGAGCTCCTTACCCTATCTCCAAGGCCGAGCCCAGCCACCCTCATTCTTTCGGTTACTATCCAGAGCTCATGACCATAGGTGAGGGTTGGGACATAGATGGACCAGTAAATCAAAAGCTTTGCCCTCTGGCTCAGCCCCTCTTTACCACGACAGTTTGGCACAGCGCCCGCATCACTGCAGACGCTGTGCCAAACCGCCAATCCATTTCACACTCCATTCTATCCTCAATGGTGAACAAGACACAGTCACTCACTCCCAACCCGGAGGGGACAATTCACCATTTTCTGGCAGAGAACCATGGCCTCAGGCATACACTAAAAAATTTTCTGAAAACATTTGAAGCGAGAAATAAGCAATGGAGTAACAGAATCTTGATCCATATTTGATCAGCGTTGGCACTACACAGCGCTGACAGTTTGACTGCAGTTCATGAGTAACAATTGACATGATTGACAGCTGCTCTCTCTGAAAATGGCCTGTGTTTGGCCAAAGTCTCCCATCACAGCTCTAAAGGCTAAAAACAGAGCCAAGCAGAGGTGCAGAAGTCTATTTTTTTCTCAGACCACTTAAATGACAATATACTCAAAGTGTGCTCTGGGTTTTTTGCCCAATGACGCCAAAATTAAACTACCTACCCCAGCTTTAAGTCATTTATTAAAGCAATAACAACAGGTATTTGTTGGTGCCAGCGTCTCAAATGTAAGGATATGCTGGATTCTTCTGCTTTCTATCATTGTAGACTGAAAAACTGTGACAATTTGTGACTGACCGACGTTCAATGTCAATGACGCTCTTTCATTTGCAACCTCATCACTCACCTGTGTTCAGAGCCATATCGTCATCATTCCCCCCGATCACATACAAGTAACCCTCCAGCACAGCAGCCACAGCTCCGGTGCGCCTGGTCGGCATGGCTGTCTGCTTGCTCCATGTGTTCATTTTCGGGTCATACCTGGAACAACGACACAAAGGTTGGCAAGACCAATTTAACAAATGGTCCGTCAGTCATTTGTGTTTTTGCATAACTCAGATGAATCATGTCTTTGTTCCTTCCTCTGAGTCAGCCACTTCAGATTGCTCTCAAAGTAATGTGAGATGTCAGGTCATTAAAATCATTATTACTTTCATTCTATGATATATGTAAGACACAGCCTCGTTTTGTCTCACAGAGACAAATTAAAATGTGCTTTCAAAATGTTTTCTTTGCAAAAACCAAGAAACCTTTTGAGTGGAGGATTTTACGTGGAAAGTAATAGATAGTATCCCTTAATATCGTGGAGATGTCTTAAACATAGCCTTTACAGAATGCATTAAGAGGATTCACAGTTTAAGGTAAGATATTGACCTTCTGTAGCGCTCATGCAACAGTACCTCTCCACAGTATTTATGGCAGTAATGCCGTCATGTCCTCCAATAGCATACAGGTATCCGTCCATCGCCACCAGACACACTCCGCTGCGGGGGCTGCTCAAGGGTGCTACATCTGTACTCCAGCTGTCCATGTCTGGGTTGTACCTGCCATGAAGGAGGTCAAGGAGCGGTTATATCAAAGTGTTGGTGGACAGTTATATCAGCTGCTGGTAATAACAACCAACACAGGCAAAAGCTTTCATAGAAATGTGTGTTTTTTTTGTTTTGTACGCCTGCAACTGTGTGCTTTTGAGGAACACATTCACACTGAGAGAAAGTATTTGAGGAGTGTGGGCATCTGTGTAAACATCTGCCGGCGTTTCCTCTCCACTGGAAGGCTATTAAAAAAATGTTTGCTCTCCATTCAAGGCCATTAGATGAAAACCCACATCCCACAAAACAACACTTCTAATTGGCAAATTTCTTGCTTGAGTGGGATGTCGGCAATTCCCCAGAAATATCAGTACTGTGGCCACCAGTCAGAGATTAGATGCACTCTGGTAACCAGAATGAGAGCTAGCTGGTTCAGACCACTGACAGCTGATCAGTCTGGGGGCAGGTCTCTTCCTGCTGGTCTGCAGCCGGCTGGCCGGGGTCATCTGGCTGGCATTCAGTTAAGGAGTGTCCTTCTGTGGGAATTGGGAACAGAGCCAGCTGCTTCGAGACATCTGATAGAGTAGGAGGAGAGGAAATGGGAAAAAATGTGCAACAGGAGAGCAGAGTACATGTGTGTGTGTATGTGTTTATGTTTTATTAACTCTGCTTATGAAGAATTAATACCCTGGCAGTATGAAAAAAATGAGGGGAAATCAGGCAAAGTCAGGATTTTAGGAGGTCCATTGCTCACTAAAAAAGATGCCTTTAGGTTACAACTTGGGTTTAATGTTAATTTTCGCCTCACTGCTGGCCTCTGCTGTTCAGTAATGTTAACAACAACAAGAAATTAATTCATATATCTCTCTCTCCCTCACCAAATCTAGTGATAAAGTAGACAAAAATTAGTCAAAAAGAATTGCTTTTAGCATCAGATTTGTACTGTTAAAAAGCAAACCAAAGGTTAGGCTAAGTAAATTTCTTCAAAAGGGGAGTGGGTGGAAAATTTTGGGAAAGAGGTCTTTTTGCATCATGGGTAGGAAAAACAACTCAGACAACAAAATTACAGTTAGTCCACTCCTCTTATTTCTAAATACAGAAATCCCCAGAACTGTTTTTCCACGAATTACTCACTTTGTTTCTCTCACTAGCATGATGATGGATTTTGCTAGTGAGCACTTTCAGAATGATTAGAGCAGGGTGCCAAATACAGGAGAGCCAAATGAGCTTGGCTTCTCTTGACAAGTCTTCCTTTCTTGGAAGCAAGATTTGTGAAAGTTTGGGGCTAAAATTATGTTGATCTGTTCTGTACGACATCTATTGCACGTCTGTCCGTCCTGGAAGAGGGATCCCTCCTCAGTTGCTCTTACTGGGTTAAAAAGAAAACAAGGGAACTTAAAGATTCAATAGTCAGTTTTGATACCTGTGTGGATGTTTGGCGTGGCCACTAAGTAATTATCATATCCTCATATAAGGACATTAGATTTTGGGTTTACGTCACCCTTATACTTCATTCTACTTAACTCAGACCTATTGTCCTCGTTCGTGGACGCTTTTTTGTGCCATCTAGTGGTAGTAAGACCACAATACACTGATCCATGTAAAAACATGGACATGGACATAAGGACATGAACAAGGTCCAAAACCTGATCACATTTTATGGTCGAAACTTGTTAATTCATGTTTGATAATGTATGTTGTTTGATATGGCAACACATTTGACCTATTTAAGCAACAGTAACAAGCTAAGACACTGTCATTAGAAAGTGCTCATTTGAGGACATTGAGACTTTATTATCGTCTCGATAAGTGACATTTGGACTTAATTATCGGTGACAATGTTAGTTTTTATACTCATCAGAGTTTGAGTCTCAGGAGGATATATCGGATGTGCTGACATAAAGCAAGTAGGCCTATATGCTTGAAGCTACAAATGTGTCTTTGCAATAAGAGTCTCAATCAGTGTTCTCTCTGAAGCATGAAAAAGCTCCACTCCGCCCCCCTATAAAGAAAAGAGTGAGCTCCCCTGAAAGCCATGATTTAGCTCACACACTGGGCAAAGGTTAAGATTAACTACAGACCTGTAATATTGATGGTTACGGTTGACATCAGGGAATAGGGGTGGGTATGATATAAGAAATGAGAAAAAGTGATTCAGTGAGAAATGCACAGCAACATATTACTGTCTGTGTAGCAGCCTGTTTTCTGCGCATGATCCTCCGCTGCAGCATATCTGTAATTCTAATATGTTTTACATAACGTGCTTTGGGGTTAAATGACATGCCTCTTGGATTACAGTTTCCTCATATCTGTAATAATTCAATATTTTTGTGCCCTTTATGTTCTAAAGTGCTGCTGCTATCTTGGCTACTCTCATGTAAAATAGATTTTTAATCTCATCTGGGTCCATTTCATGGTTAAATAAGGTTATATAAACAGTAGGGCAGGGGTTTTTTCCATGTACAGAGGTCTCCAAGTTCAGACTGTAACCTTAAGTAATTTCTTGCCCTACATGGTCTCAAGCCGCAGCACATTCACCACTCCACTGTCAGCACCAAGGTCACAAGTGGCTGACTGATAGCACTTCGATGTCTGCACATGGCACCTACATTACATTTACACGACTTCATCCTCCACAGATCAACCTGGGAGGAGTTCTCTGTAACAACCTGACTGTCAGAGCCAGACAGCTTTTGCTTATTAAGATATGACTGGTATCTCACACTGTCACCGCAGCTTCAACTCGCTTTCACTTTCTCTGGCTGTGATAATCTGTGTGAGGTAATGAAATGTCAGTTTGATTCACCTTTCACCAGAAAATCAACATAAATCCCAAACTATTTCAGTCACAGCCTCTCATGTAGTCAGGAGTTAGATGTTTAACTGGAACATGAGATGTAAAATAATTGCAAAATTGAGACACTATGCGCGAATTGTTAGTAGAAGACATTTAGCAACTGTGTTGTCTCACCTCTCCACACTGCTGTAACATCGGATGTTATCTTCCCCGCCCACTGTGTAGATCTTGCCATCCAGTGTGCCCACGGCCACTTTGCCACGACTGTTGACCATGCGTGCTGCTGTCCTCCACTCATTGTACTCGGGACAGAACTGTTCTACCAAACAGGATGGGTCATCCTGGGTCCATCCTCCGACTGCCAACACAATACAAGACACTCATTATTTTATGTCAGTTCAATCAAAAACATTTTCTGTCCCCATTCAGCTGATGAGCACCAGGCCTATCTTTATGGTGCTGCCATAAAAGGAAAAATAAATCTTTTCCTTGGCACCTGGATGAAAACATAATCTTTAAACTGCAAATAGAAATGTCAATCAGCAACTCACATTTTCAAATGTGACAGTTTCTTTTACAGAACTTCCTCTTCTGGCTTCTTTCTATCATATCTCACTTTTTTTCCACTGCTCTATATGCAGTAGAAGCAGTAAACAAATTTAGGCATGGATCCAATAGTGTTGAGCTGTTTTGACTGGTTTCCATGGTGATCCTTGGCAGAACGAGGTGCGATTCAGGAAATGGATAAATCGCCAAAGTGAACTCAAAATTATGAGTAATTTAAAAGACTGCAAATGCACAGATGGGTGACAAATTACAGGCAAGAAAAAACAACATTAACTGTCTTAGTCAGGTGTCGGGCCACAAAGAGCCTCAAGATTTGATTGATTGACTTCTTTATTTTTTGTCATGCACACAAAAATGTGCACAACTCTCACGGGGTTTACAAGACATCATTTTAATAATGTTGCAGTGATCCTTCCAAAATACATGTTTTCTTACTGCTCAGTCCCAAACAAAACACTCTTCCTTCTATCCCAGGCTTGTCAAATAGAGCCGGCCGCAATAAAGGTTCCCTTTCTGAAACATAGCTCAGATTTTTTTATGGTCATCTAACCAAAAGAAATCAACAAAATGTAGGTCATTTTACTAAAAAGTAAATCCCTTATGTCTAAACTTTAGGTTACCTGGGTAACCCCAGTTCTCTGACAACTTAGTGAGGTATCTCACTATGGGAAGTGCTCTCAGGCGTGACCGATCATGGAAGCTCCAATAACACCACCTCTGTTTGGGGACAGACCAATCATCTTGAGTTGCACAGACCAGCCTGTCCCCCTTTATTAATGCCTGCAGCGTCCCGCCTATCATTCTCACTTTCTTCCACGTGAAGATCATGAGAGCTCCTCAGCTGTCCTGACACAATCGTCAAGATAGTCACTGATCATGGAGATCTGGTGTCAGGACTTTTGGATTGTATTTCATTAAGAAACCTTACAATTGTTCATGTGGGTGTTTTCAGGTTGTGGTGTACCTTAAAGAACAAGTTAACACGTCCAGATGAGCTGTGTGTCTGTTTTTCCTACTGCTTTTAGCCGTTGAGGTTAATTTTCATTTTAGCTAACGACAGCGTTAGCGATGGCAAACACCGAATCCTCTAAAGCCTGGGTCTTCAACAGGGGGTCCGTAACCTCTAGGGGGTACTCAGAGTTACTATAAGCCTCTAAATAATCTAATTAACTAATGAAAGTTTTAGAAAGTAAAATGTGTCTGAAAATCCACATTAACGTGAATCTAACATATTATTAGCCAACATAAATCAGCGTATTCATCAAACCTATTAGTTAACAGTACACAACATTTTTGATAGGTTGACTGTTACCCAGGAATCGCTATGTGATCATGTGAGCTAGCTAACACTACATCACTGTGCAGCACCTGTAATTATTTTTGCACATTAGCCAGTTAGCTGTATTACTATGTGTACAGACATTCTTGTGTGCCACAATGGATTGTTTCATAACTTTTTAACAGACTCTGACACACTGTCCACCGTAGAAACCACCACTGAAAGTGCAGAGGGTGAGGCTAACGCACCTAGCAATGCTACAACTGCTGCTTAGTTAGCAGCTAGGCAACCAAGAGAAGACCTGGAAAATATTCAGAACTATCTCAAGTGCAACTCTTTTTTTAAAAAATATATGCAGTAAGGGTCCCTGCTGTCTGTGTTTGGGCCAAGGGGTCCTTGGCCTGAAAAACGCTGAAGACCCCTGCTCTAAAGGGAACGCTGGTGGCAGCAAAGGCAAGGCATCAAGTCCCGCCCTTGCCCAGCCACTTGTGGACTCACCATATTGGGGAAAGACCCCCATCCTCTCTGCATTACATGTATGGGTGTAAACATGCCCAGGCTTCTCACACAACAAAAAAAGGTCTGTCCTCTGGAGTGGCATTAAACCAGCTAGTCTCTGAGGCGAATGGTAAAGTTTCCTTAGCATAACTGTACACATAGGGATCATGTTCAGATAATATTTCACCTAAGGTTTTATATTGTAGCTGTTCTTTATAAGGCAGTAAGTTTTTACAGATCATTATTCTTCATACATGAGGCACATTTTGCTCCTAATCTCCTGAATGTCACAAAGTAACCTGTTCTGGAAGATAAATTGTTCAAACAGAATAAGGATTTCATTAGCTCAGGCATAACCATACGAAATGTTCCAATTAAAAATATTTTTAGTGAGTCATTGATCAGAGACAAATCACAAATCTATTCCAGAGCCAAAGCATTTGAAATTTATGTCTGATGATGGGAGGTTGCCACCATATATCTTCACCAATGATCAAAACTGAAGTAAATTTATGGACTCCAAACGCCAGAGCAGCTTCAGTTCTCTTTGGCAGAGATGTAACAGGTCTCTGAACATCACTCTTACAAAATATGCACCCTCTTTTTGTGTCATGATTAAGTTGGTGGAGAGAGGACTGTCAAATAAAATCTTCTATTCTTATGAAGCTCAGTGTAAGTTCAATCAGGAAGACTTTCTTTATGCTATATCCATTAACATTTCTCTCTCCATCCCACTCTCACTGCTTTCTATGGGTGTAAGCCAATCAAACTTTGCCACAATCTCCTTCAGCCATTCATGTTGCTCCTGCCAAACTTTAAATTTGTTCTCCTTTCTGCTCCTGTCAGCTGTCATTTTAGACTGAATCGTCATGCCCTCCTCCACCCCATTCACCTCCAGTCACCTTATCCAGAGCCCCGGACGAGCTCATCAAAAGCCCACTCCTCTTCACATCCAGATTCTCACCTCCCTCTTCATGGTGTTCCCCAATTAATACGTCTTTGCCATCCTACTGGATTAGATGACATCACGATGGGGTGTAATCGCCAGACTTTTCACATTTCTCGTTCTTACGTGCACATGTAAATTAATATTCTTTTCTCTCAGAACGAGTCTTGCTGGTTGTGAAAGCCTGAGCATTTGATTTACATCATTTTCCATTCATCAAATATTCTTTTTTTTTATGTTTCTCCGCCCCTTTTATTTAGGTTTGTCCTTTAATTTGTCACCTGTCAGTATGTTTTTAATGGTCTTTACTTTCGCCTTGAAGGTTCCACTTTTATTTACCCTTTTTAATTTAACAGTCTCAAACAACTCTCCCTTTCTTGTACAATATGATCAACACTCTCCTTAAATACTACTGAGGCTGAATTTATTGCTACAGAATGTAATCCTGTGTTTGCACAGCAGCTCTGTGTGCCGGTTTCATGCTCCCAGCCTCTTAATAGAGGCAACTGTTGTTTTGTTCTGGAGAATGTGTCGGTGCCGGTGCCGATAATCACTTTCATTATTAACTGTGATGTAGATAATAATGGGCAACTTTGGCAGGGGACAGAAGCTGTTAAATACCCATTAAATATTAACAGAAGATTCTCTTTAGCACCTCTTTAACAGACTGGAGCAATTACAGTAAAAGGTTACCACAGTACAGTAGTCTCTAGACAGCATGGTATCCATACAGTGGCCACGTGAGAACAAGATGTGAGAAGGTGTCACTGATGCTTTCGTTTAATGAGCATCACACGTTCTTTTTAAAGCAGCATGTTTACTTTATAATAAAGATGACACAAAATAGGCCTTTTAAACAGAAAATGTTCCACTGAGCTGCCTCAGTTTCAGGGTCCTGGTATTGTGCATGCTGACTCACGGTCCTGGATTACTGTGATGTTTGAATAGATCAGAGCCATCGTTAATGTTATTAGGAACATTTTCCTAGCATGACAAATTGAAATGTGCTGTGAAAAGGGCCTGATACCCAAAGATTTCTTGTGATTCAACCCATTTTAGTCAAAGTGGTTTTAAAGGGGTTATCCAGCAATTTAGTATTGGGCTAATACAAAGTTTCTAAGGCCCTATTTACACCTGGTTTTGACATGTGTCTTGGGTGATCAGATTACAAGGGTACAGCCAACCTGGTCTCACTCTGAAGTTGTTCAAATCCGGCGTTTGGTCAGTGACTTCCGGCGTTAGATGCTGACGAAAAAGCTTCACATCACCATGATACGCAGCATTAGGGGGAAATGCGTTGGGACAAGAACGATTAAGATGGCGAAAGTCTGACTACGATGGGTGTTAGGGGTGGTGAATGGGTCCAAAAACCATCAACTTTCACCAGGGATGCCGGTGTTTGCGTCCTGTAAGACTGAAAAACCAAACCCTGTTTTTATTCCCTAAACCCAACCACATGTATGCCGGCAAAACGTAATCACGTGTGTTTGTTGATGAAGGAAAAAATACGTCAATTCACGGTGTTGTACCGTCACAGTGTATTTATTTTGAAAGAGACTATATACAAACCGTAGATTCCTGTGAAAACCAAAGGGTTTGTTGACAAAAGACAATGCATGTAACAGGCAGAACTTGACATGGCATCCCAGAACATAAACAACCAATGCACCCAGACTACGTACGTATCTGGGTGTGGAATGTCCATGACCGTACATCGATATATGACGAGGTCAGAGTAAGAACGTGTTGGTACAACGTTAAATACAAGTGTAAATGACCACTAAGACACATTGTGATCCGATCACTCCAATTATATGCCAAGGTGGTCTGGGAAATGTAAATGTAGTATAAATGCAAATATGTCATGATGCTTCCCCGACAAGGACTACGTTCCTCAACAGTACAAGACAGGATTGTTGATGTAGTGACAGTGTGCTAACTCTACATAACTTGCCCATTTTAGGATGATTTGGACAAAGTGTTACATGACCGTCCATTGTTTTGCACATTGGAAGGAGTCGTGTTGAATTCTGCTGACAGTGATTTCTCCAACTGTACCGACACAACCATAACTTGTCTAGCTAGTAATGAAGTCTAAACACAAGTGGTCAGCTGGAGATGAGATTATAGACCAGGTGTGAAAAGGGATGCGTCTCTGCTGTCCACTTGGGTTCGGATCGCTAAAATGCATGTTTAAGACCAGGTGTAAACAGGCTCTGAAAGACTAAAAAACAGTTCAAAAATATTAGAAAATGGGCAAGGCCCCTATCACACAGAAAGTGTTTTAGCAGCTGAAAGTGGCTTTTTGTAATTGTTTTTAATGAGAATGAAGCTTTTTGCATTGCTATGCACCTCACATTTTTGTCTTCTAGGCACCTTGGATTTTTTCTGGAGTGCTCTGAACTCCTTGAGTTGAAAAACCTTCAACTCAGAGCGGGAGAGCAGCCCACATCATCTCTTTTTTCATCATCTTTTTTTCCCATTGTCCAGTTGGATGATTTGAGAGGTGGGCCTTCTGTAGTGGCCACGACAACAAGTTAACAGTTTGTAAACAGTGGAGGAAAAACTGGTGGTGGCGGTTGCTGGATTCCCAGAGCTAGAGCAAGTACCCTCTGCTGGGCCATCTTACTAACAAGCTACTAATTACTGTAAAAAAAAAACAAACAGTAGATTGATTACACAGGAAGGTCAGTGTAAGGATGTGATGGGGTGGTTGCCTGGCAACAATAAAAGGCGCACAAGTTTTTTTTACTTGTGGCATTCACTTAAAAAAAAAAGGCATTTTGCAACCTGTGAAATGCTTTCAGTGAGATCGTGGCCCAACTCTCTCCCAAATCAAAAGCTAGAGTGCTAAAACTCAATTTGGTGATGTCATTAAATATAAAGTGTAAAGCCACTCCATAGACAGTGAATTGTGAGAGATGTTATAGATGACACTAAGAGCAGCCAGGGAAATGTTCTGAGTATATGGGTGAATTTTCTGTTTCACAACTGAGAACACTACATTCGGTGGGTCACAAAAACCAGGCTTGAGCAGCTCCAGACTTCTATCTGATGATATTACAAGTTTGTGACTTTCATCTCTGGTTTCTGGCTTTAAGGAGGAGCAGCTTACATTCCCAAATATTGATTGAACTTTTCTAGGTCATGGAAATAACATAATGGAATTCTTAATTTAGGCATCGTTCCTCTTTAAATTAATGAAGGAATGAATGTGTGCCATACAGTGCCATAGATAACTCTACTGTAAGCTCCAAAGATGCTAGATCCTACGGGTGCATTTCCCATAATGCAACTCAGTAACATCTTTCATTAGACTTCCCCTGCCACTTCTTTCAAACTCCATTCAAACTCCTTTGATTGCTAAAGAATATTCCAGACAATCAGCTCTCATTATGCTATTGAAACTGTGCTCTTTTTCCATCCTCCATCCAGAGAGCAGAACTAGAGCAGCTTAAACTGCACTTGGAAGTAAAATCAGTTCAATAAAATATATATGTCAGATGTATTCAAATGTAGCAACTGACCCATAAACATCATGTCATTGAAGACGTCTTTGGGGGGAAGTTTGCTGAGCTGCTTGTGAAGGGAGAGGGGGCTTGACATGTGGCGACGGTGGCGGGGAGACCCCTCTTTGCAGTCTTTGATCAGCATATGGCGGTGCTCTGGTTCCTGCAGGGCTGCCCTAAAGTATACAGGGATAAAGGAGACATGAAATAAGTGCAGTAACTATGAAGTCACAATTTATTCTTGAGGGAACTATTCAGTAAATGTTATCATTAGAGATACACATTTTTTTAAGAAGTACCATAATTTGTATAAATCATTCAGACTGAACAAAGAACTTGAAATTCATTGATTAGTGTAAAAAATCTGGTGTACTGTATCATCTCACACTGTTTCCTCCAAGTGCTAATAACATTGCAGCAAATGATGATAAATGAATTAATACAATGCAAAACATGCCTCAAAATCAACTTTGTGTCTCTTAAATGTACCACAACAGAGGCTCTTAATCAAGCTTAGTAATCTTACCCTTGTTCATTGTACACCCCCATGTTTTATCTCCTCAGCTTTTTACTCAGGGTCTGAAGTCACTATCTGTGCTTCTGTCTCACAGCAGCACCTTGGTGTCACTCAGGTCTCTAGTATTTTATCAGTACGCGCCGCTCTGTTCCCTGCAGTCTGTCCTTAAACTACTGGCTGTCACAGCTTTCCGCTCTGAAGGACATTGTACTCGACCACTTTGAGTAAAAAAACTCCCCTTCCCTTAGCAACACCGGCAACCAACCCCCACACAACTTCCCCAAGTGATTCATCCCACCATCCCCGCAACCTGAAACCTAAGACTCCTCTCACACACCCTACTTCCAGCTTCCTTTTGACAACTGTCATGCTGGAGGAATTTTTGGCATGTACTTTATTTTAGGTTCAGATGAGGGTCCATCAGTGTCCTTTAAGTTACTGTGTCAATGGTGTGAGTTTTGAACCAGGAACAGGCAACCATGGACGGCTAGTAGATTGAGATTCACAGTAACCAGCACTACTAGTCATGTGCTGGTTACTGAAGAACAGGGATACACAACTTGCTTTGCTTCATGATCAAACATTAATAATATTTATCAGTATTTATTATAAATCAACCAGTTGTTTCAACCAAGCAATAACCTCCAGGGTTATAAAATAAAGCCAATGCAGAAGTGCCAAAAACTGCAGTTTCTTAAATGACCACTTGAGGCTGGCTGAGCAAGTCAATCCCCATAGACCCCCATGTTAAAATGTCCAAATTTATAGCAAAATAAACATGTTTACAGCCTGGTACAAAAACAGTTTCGTTAATTGTTATTGACAACTGCACAATTTAAATGAGAGGTGGGTGCCTTCTGTTGAAAAGTCACTACCACTGTGACAACATTGTTGTAACCATGGCACACACCAAGTTTCCCAGAGTACAGGCGTAACAATAGCTGTTGCTATTTCAGTGTGTTTTCAGTTCACGAGAGTCACCAATTTAATTGTCTAAAAGTCTTGTTCAGTTATGTTGTACTAAAAGACCCTCTAGGGAGTCTGATGTGCTTTATTTTGTTATAATGGCAATGTTTTGTTTTAATAGGTGTGGTGAGGGCCAATAAGTGGAAAAAGTAGGAGGAGGACCGACAATGCCACCTGGGAGAATTAGAGCCCAGGAAATACTTTCTCAAGAACTTTAAATTGAGTTGAAAATTCAGGGATAAGGCACACAGACTGGTTACTGAAGCAAGGAGACGTGAAGTCTAAAAAAACCCAAATGTTTTTGTGAATTTATTAAAAATAAGCAAATAAGCAGGGACTGGAGCTGCTGGGAGAAAAGAAAAACACATTAATAGTCAAATCAACACAATATAGGGGAATTAAAATAGTTTTATTACAATTATCTTAAAAGAGTCTTGATACACAATATAAATTCACAAGTTAAGTAAAATATCCAGTCCAAATAAAGCTAAACTAAACAAAACCAGGGAAAGTGAAGCAGAGTGCCATCTCATTGGAATCTATGGTGAAGTCCCTGCACTTTATGCATGGGAGGCCCAATCCCAATTCCTATCTTAACCCTCAATCTTAACCCTCAGTCTCAAAAATCTGCGCTCCCGTGAAGTGCTAGTGCTGTCCCGATTCTCAGTGGGTTGGGTTAAGGATTAAGATTAAGGGCTGTATGTCCCTTACTTTTGAGATTTTCCAGCACCACACTTGGCGGTGAGTGCTATCCCAGAATCCCTTGCGCATCATCGGCTGAGCCCCACTGAAATCAGCTGAGTCCATACGATTCATTCAAAGCAAGATGGTGGCGGAAAGCGGTAAAAAGGGGAGTTATAACTGTGAGTATTTTCCTTGTAAATACGCATTGTAATATCTTAGTTAAATGTCATTTTATGGATTTTAGACCTCATTGTTGCGTAAACACAAACACATTTTTCGATCTATAGTAACGTTAACATTAGCCGTTGCGGTGCACACAAGCCATAACATTAGCTGTCGTTCAGTTAACGTTCGAAATATCATTTTTCTTAGTGGTAATGTTGTTAAGTTTTACCAATATACGCGAAATGTTTGCACCGACATTTTTGTAAGATGACCAGACGGTGTCATCTACTGTAGCCACAGCAGCAGACAGCATGATTCGTATCGTTCGTCTGTAACCTTCTTCTTCTACGACTACTGATGACGCAATGTACTTCTTCTTCTTGTTCTTTTGAATTGACAGACCGGACGGAGCTTTGGCTTAGTGCTGCCCCCCACAGTGAAGACGTATCTGCCTTTTCTAAGTCTCAAGATAGCCCTAACACTTGGTTTTTAAGGGCCAGTGAGACTGAGGGTTGAGCTTGAAAGTTAAGATTGAGGGTTAAGATAGGAATTGGGGACGGTGGCTACTAACTGGGACACAAGTGTAGATTGCATCAGTATTGCTGTGTTGCACCTTAGGTGAACAGGTGGTGGCACCCCTGGGCTCTCCTCAGTGTAGTCTGCCTCTCCGTGAGTGGCCTCTGCTTTACTAAGATAATTGTAAGAATACCAGTATTTTAATTCCCCCTTATTGTTGTGATTTGACTATTAATGTTTTTTTTTTCTTTTCTCCCAGCAGCTACAGTTCCTGTTAATTAGCTTTTTTTTTGCTAAATTCAATAAAACGTTTGGTTTATTTTTGACTTCAATTTAAGCCTCTTAAAAAAGTATTTCCTGGGGTGTAATTCCCCCAGGTGGCATTATGGGTCCTTTTCCTACTTTTTCCACTAATTGCCCCTCGTCACATGGGTTTAAATCCATTTTCCCTACCAATAACTAGCATTAGTATTAGTATTATCAAAGTAACCCATATCTGTAAATGCACCATGCTAACCAAGCTAACAGCTAGTGTCAGGATTAGCTCCAACCTCTCGTCTAAATATGGTCACTTCTGGCTCCAAAGCAAAACAAGACGGTGTCAAAATGCCAAACTCAAGGCTTCAATATGAGAGTACATCTGTTATTTTATACAGTCTGTGTTTTCAACCTTTCCACATTTTGCTGTCCACACTCATCTTTGCCAATGGGCATGTCCACTCACAGGTCATGTGTACACAGAGGTGTTGGGGCTTAGCCCTGACCTCTGTCCTGCCGTGGCACTTTTTTCCCTTTCAAACAAGCTTTATTTTTATGCTTTTAATTCACTCTGGCACCATATGTGCGTTTAAAATTTAAAAAAAAAGTCACAGTGGGAGTCAGTTTATTTAATGTGAATAAGAAAATGCCCCCACTCAGCACCCTTTCTGTAGGTTGAGTATTACTAGTGGCTTTCCCCTCTATTTTACTCCAAACGCAGCATTAGTGTTGACAGAAGCATCAGTCTTCCTCTCACCAAAGGTCTCCAGATATCTGTAACTGTCTGAAAAGGAACCTGTCAGCTCCCTCCTTCAAAATCCATTCCATCACTTCTCCGCGTGACTACCTATGCTGCAGGACGCCTATATTTATAACTGTGTCCAGCGGAAATGCCTCAGATGGTATGGTGAATCATCTCATGTAGGTCGGGGAAGATAGGTCAGATGCAAATTCTATGTAGTCACTGCTGTTCTGTTGTCGGTACATGACTTCTATAAGGCTGACTAAGAAATCGTGTTTGACTCGTTAGCATTATGCAGATGACTCAGATAGATAGATAGATAGATAGATAGATAGATAGATAGATAGATAGATAGATAGATGTGGTACTTTTGTTATTACTCCACCATATTTCTGATGGACATTATATGTTGTACTTTTACTTAACTACATATTTTATTTCACTACATTTATTTAACAGCTACAGTTACTAGTTTTACTTGTCAGTCAAAGATTTCACAAACAAAATACATGATCAATTTATAAAATATAATGCATTATTGATTAAACCAGCCAACAGTATAAGAAGCAGTTTAAAGTAGTTCTACTTTTACTTTAATAAATGATCTCAGTGCTTCCTCCACCCCTGATTAAAGCATTTTTTTAGTCACTTGGACTTTTTACTCGACCTTTCTTGTGTTGCAATGTAATGAAGTAATAACATGTCATTACACTACAACAGTACTTAAGTGTTTTTTGGGAGTATTTGGGAACAGTTGCACAAAACACCTTAAGATTTCTCCTTAAGTATGACATTAAAGGCTTAAATTCTCCTTAGCTGAGGGACTTAAACAGTTGCACAGAATCCCTTAAAGGGTTTCCTTGGTTAAGAAAAACCCTTATCTGTTTTTTTTTTTCACTCATCATTTCACTAAGTTGTTTTCAAGTTAGATAATGACAAAACGGCTGAAGGAAAGAAGACGAGAAAACCATATTGAAGGAGGAAATGATTATACTTCTGGAGGCATACCATCACACAAAGCACATACTACAAAGTAATTTGACCCCCAAAACAGAAAACAATTGTAGGAAGAAATTGCAACAAAAATTAATTCAGTCAAATCAAAATCGTATCCTGGGCACAAAACACTCTTCCTAAGTTGTGTTAGTTTTCTTCATTTATCACTATAAACTTTGTCATGTAGCAGTTAAGATAGAGTCAGAGATACCTTAAGTATTTTTTTTTTAACCTTGCCTTGGTTGCTAAGGTCTTTTGTGCAATGGTCTAGGGATTCCTTAAGTATAAGACCAAGACCAGGAGCAAACCATAAATACTTAAGTGGACATTTTAAGAAAACCTTAAGGAAAAGACTTAAGGCTTATTTGTGCAACCAATTTTATTATGAGGAAACTTTAACTAGGACTTTAAGGAAAATATTAACTTAAGGTGTTTTGTGCAGCCACCCCTGTACTTTACATGAGTTTTTATATTTCTGTCAACTTTTACTTTAACTTCACGACATTCCCTGAATAAAATGTAGACTTTAGCTACAATACATTGCTCCTGAGCATCTTAGTTACTTATAACAAAATAGGGAAGTAAGAGAGGAAGAAAGGAGAGATGAAGGGATAAAAGGCATGAATGGACGAACGGACGGCTTACAGAATGGGAGGGAAGGAAAAAAGTAACGAACATATCTCACTTTTTCTGTCCTTCATTTTGAGTATGACACTTGCAGAAATAGCAGGATTAAAATCATACATAGACATTTAGGTCCTAATTGTGTTTGACATATAGGTAGACAGACAGACAGATAGATGGATAGCTATACACACACCAGTCAAAGCAGCTGCTGCTTCCTGTTGAAGAGGCCCTCAAGAGTTAATCCAACAAGAGATGAGTCCCAGGTCTTCAGGTATAACAGCAGTCAATAGATCCTTGTATTTATCCAGATATTAGTGGCTGAGACTTCCCCACAGGCCCTGCTGAGGTGATTAAATTATCCTCCTCTGAAATGTCCTGTACATACTCCCCTGAGAATCTACACTGAGACCTAAACACTTGTCTGGCAGCATTGGTATTGCCACATTGTGACCTTGGCAGCTCAGTCTCTCCCGCCTGCCTGGAGCCGCTTGAGCCATTCGGCTGTAAAATCCCAAATTTTTAGGAGGTCAAGGGTTTATTTAGGTCTGTGAGGGTAAAAAATCTGCTGACAGGCTGCTTTGCGGGTCATAAACAGGTCCTTCACATAAAGTCAGCATTTCCTCCTTGACCTGCGTCAACATGGAAACATAAAAGGTGAAAAATATCAGTGAATGTTGGTTATTAGAAAGAACATTTGTTTTTTAAAAAAAACTGCAGCAGTCGTCAGAGAAGAGAAGTCGTGATGAGAGATGGTGGACATTCGATGTTTAATCATAGCCCTTCTTGTTAAAAACTCTTTTGTAAAATGCTGTTACCTTTTTCAATTAAATAGCCTTGACTCAGAAACTCAAATAAGTAATGGGAGCTGTCATGAATCAGGCATAATTTGGACAGGTACAGATGGCATTTAAAACAAGGAACGGCTACAGATGGCATTTAAAACGAGGAGCCATGTAGCACAAGAAGCAAAAGCAGTTATTCTAAAAGCAATGCATCAAATCAAAGTGACAAAGTAGATATGAAGGGTAAAACTGTTTATTAGCAGCCAGTGAAAAGTAACTGATGGACATTTTACAGAGAAACAGGTGGTGAGCCGGAGTTTGTTCTGCTATCTTGTCAGTATCTATGTCATGGCAGTGATGCGATGGAGTCTCAGGCAACACATGCTGTTTGAAGGATCACTCCAACATGTTTGCAGTCTTACTCAGATTCTAATAAGAGCATCTATATCGATTTCATCTTTTCATCTTTAGTACAACGATACCCCATGGCCTTAAAGCAAGGGAAACATCAGCCACCAGTCACCAGCTCCACTTCCAACAGCTTCATAATAACTGTCTTTTTAAATGTGTGTGTTTTTAACACAGAAACCAAAGATGAGATGTTACTTTAAAGAAGTTATGTAGCTCATGCATCTGAGCTATTTCTTGACCAACAGCTGGCTCCAAGAGATGCATGCAACATTTCAGAAGTCCCTTACGCACACTCATAAATCTGAACAAAAGCCAGGTGAAGATTGAACGCCTTTGTGATGAGACTTGGCTGTCTTTGAACTTTGCTGCTGTGGGTTTGATGGCAAACAAGCAGAACGTGAGTGTTCCTTCAAAGGTCCAGTGTTAGGGGGATGTATTGGCAAAAGTTGAATATAATGAAGTATGTTTTCTTTAGTGCATAATCATTGAAGAAGAATCCTTGTGTTTTTGTAACCTCAGAATGGGCCTTGTATATCTACATAGGGAGAAGGTCCTCGTCTATGGAGATCACCATGTTGCATTACCTTGTTTCTAAAGTAGCCCAGAATGGACAAACCAAACACTGTAGGCACACTCTAGACAGGGCCATTTGCAATTTTTTAGTTAGCAGCCCCTCCACAACAAGAGTTTTGGGGAAAGCATACATTTTTATTTGGTATTTTACTGGTTCATATCACTGGATCTGTTGATTTGGAGAGGAAGAGTCTGCTGCAGATAATTTGGCTCACTGTTAAAATCTCCTGAACTTCTGGATCTTAAGGTGCTTTCACACCTGCTCTGTTTGGTTCCGTTCAATCGAACTCAAGTTTGTTTGCCCCTTAAGTGCGGTTAGTTCGGGCAGGTGTGAGCACAGCAATCACACTCGGGTGTGCACCAAAACAACTGGACAAGACCTTCTTGAAGAGGTGGTCTCAGTCTGGTTACAAACAAACTCTGGTGCGGTTCGTTTGTGGTGAGAATGTGTTCTGACCTGGATCTGAACCAATTGCAGTCACATGACACATTGTTTGGGTTAAACATGAGCATGTTACAGTCCTGTAGGATTATTAATGTGCACCTCCTCCTGTACTGCCTTAATATGCACATTCAGCACAGTGAGCTGGGTGCTGGGCTAATGGCCCTTCTCTGATATGCCAACCAGCGTCTCAGTAACCCAAAACTACTTTATTTGGTGTGTGTTTTTTACCCGTTAAAATCACCTCTTCCATTTATTTTGAAGAAGAAGAGACCTCTGTGGGTAATTTGGCTCCCTGTCAAAACCTCCCGGATGGTTGGAACTTAAGTTATCAGATCCAAATAGCAATAGAGACACATGTATTTGTAACGTGGAAGTGCTTTACTCAGTGTTTTTACCAGTTTAAATCACCAGGTTGTTTGTTTTGGAGAGGAAGAGACCTCTGCAGAAAATTTGTCTCCGGTAAAAACCTCCTGAACAATGAACACTGAAGGAATTCTAACCGGGAGAACTTTTAGCAGGTTGTAAACTGCAATCCTCACCACTACATGTCTCCAAACCCCTCTAACTCTAACATACTGTTCCTTTAACATAGAAAGCAAATGTGAGATGTTATTTAAAAAAAGCTATGGAGCTTGTGCATTCAAGCTATTACTTGACAAATAGCTGGCTCCTTTGAATGCATGCAGCATTTAAGCAGTCTGCACTCACACTCATAAATCTGAACAAAAGCCCAGTGACTCTTGACAGGATGGCAAACAAGCATAATTTCCCAGTGCTCCCCAGTAAGTGTTCCTTTAAGTTAGCCTCAGAAACTTTGCCAATGTATGCGTGTATAAATGGAAGTCCTGATATGTGATCGTAAGCCCTGGACCTTTTTTTAATGGGTGTTAATGCAACAAATGTCCTCGCCATAAGTTTTATGGTTGAGGGAAAAGACCTCATGAAAGGCAAGGCAAGACAAATGTATTTATACACATATACATTTCATACTCAAAGGCAACCCAAAGTGCATTAGGGTCAACGCACAAGGAAAAAACAACAAAAGCAAGGAATCAAAAGCCCAAATATGATAATGTAAACAGGCAAAAGCAAACAGAAAGTTCAGAAAAGTTCAGACAATATGTATTAAAAACATCATATGAATTTGGCATTGATTAAAGTGACCCTCCATCATTACAGTTAGGCATGAGTGATGCAGTTTACGGCACAGTATGGTGGTCATGCATGAAGACCTCAGGCAGCAGCTGACTCTCCTGAGTCGTCGGACCTCTCACATGCCCGCCAGCTGATGACACACTAGCCCTCCTGCAGCTGTCTCTGGACACTTTCCTGCCAATCACAAGTCATAACAATAAGTGAGCCTCAACCTTAACACGTCATCCCCCCAGACAGTGGGGGAAGATGTATTCTGGAATGTGTCTGAGGTGTTAGCACTGAAATGTTAGCGCTGGTTGGGTATTTGTGTTGCTGGGTAAGGTTTTGGTGATTGATGATTTGAATATATTTATTAGAAAAGGGCAGGATCGGAGTAGATAAATAGATAAATCATTTCATCTGGACAGAATGCAAAGAAACTTGCAACCACATGATGATAATTTCTTTTACAAAACCATTAAAGATAACACACATCATACAACTTTGACAGATTTGTGTCCAAGTTATGAGGTTTTAGTCATGTGCATGTCCAAAGTATGGAATAAATTCAACATTACATCACGTTAACTGAGCCCCTCACAAAGTGTACTGTACATTTTGAAAAGTAGGCTAAGTGCTGACTAAGATAAAGGCCACATTTGAGTACTAAAATATCTTCCTTGATGCAACTTCACATTTAATGTGGTTGGAGAGGCAGAGTAAACAGCTGAGGTTAGTAAGAAGCTAAGTGAAAATGGCCATGATGTCATTGTATATAATTCCACATGGAGACACATATCTTCCTAATGGAAATAAAATGTTATTACTGTGTGATATATAAAAATATTTTAGTAATCATACAGTACACATTTTCAGTCCTTCTTCCTTTAAAATAAGCATAAATAAGTTAAGAGCCAGTGGTCGGGCGACCGTGACCCTGCATGCCATGATCTTTAAATGTTCCAGAGATGTCACATGTCATTTTGGTGTTGTAAAAAAAGTGCTGACACAAAAACCCAGTTGAGGAGAAAGTGATCTAGAGGTCATGAAATGGACCTCAGGAAGATAAACCCTTCAGAGGACAGTAAAAAGTTAACAGCTGCCCGGCTTCACTTTGTGTCAGAGAGGAGCTGCTGAGAAGGATATTTAAGGAGGTGCCCAGAAAGTCTTAAAACATATCTGTATATCTATATAAATATTTGGACCTTCATCACCTAAAAACTGTCCAGGCTAAAGCTGCTCACTGCCCTATATATTGAGCACATGCCCCATTAATTCTTATTTTATGAGCACCATGTACAAGATAATAAAAGAGAGTTATTTACATCACTTGAAATAAAAAAGTTAGGATCACATTAGCTGCTAGACACATGTTGTACATGTTAACATTTGAAGAGTGGTGCATGGTATCCTGCTTGAAAACCTAAATGACATGGTGTGTTGTGAGCACCCCTCCCAGGTCTGGCTCCAGTGGGGGGCCCTGGAGTCCCCATACTGGGCGAGGTACTCTTTTCATAAATGTGCCGTTTAATGAAAGTCTTCTTGAATCGCTCTTAGTCTGGCCCCTCCCCTGGGACCAGTTTGCCTTGAAAGACCCTACCAGGGGCTATTAGTCCTGGACAACACAGCTCCCAGGATCATGGGAACACACAAACCCCTCCACCACTAAGGTGGCAATTCTTGGGCATGTCCCACTGGTAGGAGGCCCCAGGGTAGACCCAGGGGAAGCCATTATATGCTTCAGTTTCCCATCTATGCTCTTGTCAAAGCCACCAGACTCCAATGAGAAAAACAGCAATTTTAGCATGCTAAACACAGCAGCTGCTGGTTGACTGCTGCTTCAGTCAGTTAGTTAGTTTGTGTAATTGTGTGACTTTCGTAACCCCAAATTAACCCTTTCAAATGCCAAAGTCACACAGTAACACAAACTAACTAACTGACTGAAGCAGCAGTAGTCCAGCAGCTCCTGTATTAAATCACTGTTTTTTTCAATGAAGTCTGGCTCTGAGTGGAATTATATAACAGCTTCATTTTCCTGTTGGATATCACTGAGTGCATTTACATGGACAGTTTAATTCCCTTTTCATTTGGAATGAAAGTTCATTCCTATTAAAAGTGATCTTGTAAA